ATACAAAGGGAAGCATCATCTATAAGACAAGAGACACGCAAGACACCAAAGACCTGGGACAAAGAAATGTGAATTCTAATTTCAAATAAGTGAAACAAACAAAACCATGGCTATCCCAGAGGAAAATATGAGTGGACTTATTTATAATCTTCAAACACAGACTCTTTAAGCAAAGCATAAAACTGGAAGTGATCTAAGAGCGACAGATTTGCTATACAAAAGCTTACAAAGTCTCTGGATTTAACACTGTGCAGAAAAACATTAAAACTAAGTCAAAACATTGGAAAGGCAATGGGCTGATATGTCTGCAACTTATAAAAAGCTTACACTACTCAGTTAGGAGAACCACTACCACCCAATAAACTCAGGCCAAACCCATGAACTGACAAAGCTCAGGAAGAAAACGGCATGGTGGATAAACGTGTAAAACCATGCCCGCACTTCCTAACCAAAGGTACACAAATAAAAACTAAGAGGTATGACGCACACATCATGCTGTCAGTCACGGAAGCTTGACAGTATCGGGGGCAGGGGTATGGTGGGAGCCAATCTGGTGGTTCTTTTCACCACATAAAAGGGTAGCAACCTCACCGCAATAAGTCCCCCTATGCCTACAGCAGCAAAGGTATAACAAAGTGCACTCACTGGGCTTTGGTTACATAGTGAAAATTTGCGTCTGTGAGCCCAAACCACTAAAAGGTTTAACCAGTAGGGAGATCAGACCAGCAACATGGACTCTCAGGTTCTCAGCAAGGCCAGACCTAGCCCAACTTCCACCACCACCACCACCACCACCACCACCAGGTGTAATACCACCCCATTCACCTGCAGCACCATTTCCATTCCCCACAGCAACCAGGACACGGACCGACTTCTTTCTTCCCTCTTTGGCTGTCATATTGAAAACATTTCTTACCTAGAAGACAAACTGTCTCATCAGTATTCCCTCGGGACAGTTCTGAAGGAGGCCAGCAGTGCTGCCCGGCTGGCCCCGCTACACTCACTCACGGTGTGTGGGCACCAAACCTTCTGCGCTTAAGACAAACAACAACAGACTTTGTCCGAACACAGGCTCACAAAGCTGCCCCTCAACCATCTCCTCGGGAAGAGAATGGAAGGTAGAATTTCTCTTCCTGTTTCACAGGCTAACTGGAAGATTCAACTAAGAAACCTGAAACTTAACACAACTCAAAATGGCCTACCTTAATCAATGTGCCACAGGAAAGAAAAACACTCTGAATGAAAATGGAATGGCTCATCAGTGAGTAATAAGAGATAGCCAGAACAGAACTGCTCACTTATCTACTACATATGGTGAAACACAGCGTATAGAAGCACAGTACTGGACAGCTGGATAAAGGTTAGGCTTTAATGAGAAACAGAAAAATTGGAAATGCCTGCTTATAGTGAACTACAAAAAAATTCTCAGGTGGTCTGTCCTCTGGCCCACACTAAAGGACAGGAACTATTAACTGTTAACTACATCACTTACAGGAGCCACACCCATGACTCATGTGCTCCTTTACTGTAACACAGACTAAGGAAAAGGGGTTTGCATCTGCTCTGTGGACAATCATACAGAAAACTAAAACATAACAGAAGCTAGCTTTCACCATCTCTAATCTCGGCTAACAACAGAAATCCTGACGGACATCCTTTAAGCTGAGCTCTGACTGACAGAAGACGCTCCGTGCATACCCAGGACAGCTCCAGGGCAGTGACTGCTCCCCAGGCGACTCAGCGGTAAGGTGCAGTGCCAGACCAACGACAGGGACCGCCCTAGAGAACGCTCTGGAAAGTAGCTCAAGTTCACTGATCAGAGATTCACTGCCCAGCTTTTACCAGTGACTCTGCACCCCCGCATCTGTGTCCCTTCAGCTGAGCGCTGGCACAGCTGTTTTTAACTCGGGGGGGCGGGGGGGGGAGACGGACACACTGCTAACCCTTCTTGAGCTTTACGGTGGAGGGAAGCTCACAGAAGCTCCAGGTCTGCTGTTCAACAACCACTGAAGTCACCTGTCACGAGGTTGCCTCGGCCAGACCAGCCATGCGTCTGAGACACTCGGCCACTGAAGGCTCCCCCCAGCCCCCTTTCCCCCCAGCCCCATTCCTCACATCTCAACTCCCCAGAGGCATGGTAGGTACTTAATTCCGTGTGCCTACCTCAAGAATCCTGGTGTCAAAGTCTTCGTACGTTTCTACAAGAAGGAAGAAAAGGCCTGTAGATGAATCGCTGTGGTATTACTGCAGGCAGTATTCTGGCACGGTCACAGACGTTTTTTCTTCGGTGGGGTATTAATGAGGACCGAACCCAGGGCCTCCTGACTGTTAGGTAAGCATCCTACCACAGAGCTACACCCTGCCCTGCCCCCCCAGACTCTGATGTTAAAAAGTCTCAGGTCCTCAGGTACCCCTCTCAAGGCCACATCCTGGCCCCACACTCAACAGACTGCTCTGCCTCTGATTCATGAACTTGGATCACCCTCTGCCAACTCCGCAGGGCTCTGCCTTACCAGCTCGAAGGGCCCTCATCAGCTCCAGACCGTTGATCACTGTTTGCCTTAAGACACCAAAGGTGTCTCTTTCTAACCCCCAACCTTTTCCCCACTCCCTCCCTTGAATCAGTGCAGCTCGCTGGCCACGCTGACTACTGGGCATGGCTGGACTAAAGTCAAGGCACAGCACCCAGCCACTCAACACGCATGGCCTCTAGTCCCACCAGAGCCTCCTGGCCATGAGGTGCTCTGGCACCTCATTCGCCATAGCCTGTCTTTAAGTTTTTAAGATGACCCTTTATTCACTGACAATTCTACATGTGTGTAATGTACTCTGATCAGAATCGCCCATCCTCCTCTCTTCTCCCTGCCTACTTGCCTTGAAACCCTCCTACCTACGCATCTCTCTCCCATTTCATGTCTTTCATTTTCCTTAAAAAAAAAAAAACAAACCACTGAGTTTAGTTATGGTTACGGCACGAGCTTAACTTAGTATGAAAATTTCTAGCCACGCTCCTCGGCTGTGTTCCCTATGACACAGTGTGGATAACAATGTGGGAAATTACTCGAGGATGCTCAAACCCTTTGCAGGAAAAAGTAAAACCTAAACAGGCAAGGTTAAAATAATAATAATAATAATAATAATAATAATAATAATAATAATAGCAATAATAATAATAATAATAATGATATATTTCAAAAGCACCCTAGCACTGTCACCTGTCACAAGGCCAGTAAGATGGGAACTTGGCTACCTCCGTTGGGTCCTGGGTCTGGGGGGCCGATGCTGACACCCCCCCACGAGCTTCCGCTCCACCCGCGCGCCCGTTTGACTTTTATCTTCCTCCTCCGTTCCCACTCTTCTCTCTGCTGCGTCATGTGGGCCTCCACCTTCTGCTGCTCTTCTCTGCTTCTTTGGCCAATGGTCTGGACTGCTCCACTTTTCATAAGAGGGACATTCAGACCAGGCCACAGGAAACCAGAACGCCCTGAAGATTTAAAAATATTCATACATAAGAATTGGAAGATTCACTTTTCCAGTATCAAAATGCCAGGCAGTCTGAACGGATAACCCAGAGCTGGTAGAGCCTGAGCAGCATGGCTGCTCAGCATGTCACTGTGTGCTATGGACACTGTAAATGTAGGACGTTACATCACTGCGGTCCACACTACCCAAAGACTCTCACGGGGGACAAGCACACGTGGGCCTGGATGAGCACATCCACTCAAATGTTATTGGAAAAGCAAAATCTTCACAATCAAAGTGTTCGGTCCAAATGGCACCGCTGGTGTGGGGGACATTCTTCATGAAATCCAAGAAAAAAGTCACTTTCGAAGGTCTAATGCGGACTCTTCCAAGACCAAACTAGTGACAAAAACAAGCAAATTTTAAGACAGCATAACCTGGTTTCCTTTTTTCTGATAAAAGACTCAGACAAAAGCAACTTGGAAGAGGGTTTGTTTTAACTCACAGTTCCAGGTTCCCATCCATCATCACTGCAGAAAGTCAAGGAGGCAGCTAGTCAGTCACACCCACAGGCAAGAGCGGAATGAGAAGGAATGCACACACACTTGCTAGCACTCGGCTCACTTCCTCCTTTTCGATAAGTCCAGGACCCAGACTTCCTGCCTTTAGTTTTCCCACACTAACCGACATAATCAAGACAGAGCCCCACAAACATGCCCACAGGTCAACCTGACCTAGACAACCCTTCACTGAGACTCTTCCCAGGTGACTCCAGAGTATGTCAAAGTGACAATTAACTCACCATCGCACAGCACACAACATATAGCATGATTAAATTATCTGTGGAAAGGCATTTATATAAAAACATGGAAATATTAAAGAAAACAGCAGAGAGAGGGGAGGCAACCAGACTCCAGGCACTGAAAGGGGCTCCATGCTCTCTACAGACTTGCTTTTTTTCTTTTCTAACTGACAAGACATGCATGTGATTTTGTAATACTAAAAACAAAGATCAGCACATTTGCTGGGAGTTCCAGCACATGCCTGTAATCACAGTTCCAGGGAGGCTGAGGTAAGAGGATCACAAGTTCAAGGCAGCCTGGGATACACAAGACAGGAGGTCAGAAGCTTTAACGTACCTTCCCCGATGATCTGGCCCCTGTTCAAATCCTTCTTCTTCTTCCTCTTGGTCCTCTTGCCCCTGCCTTTCCTCGCCCCGGCACCGGTCTCCGCTAAAGCACCTTTCCAGAGTTCCTCTGCTGTCACTGCAAAGGCACAGGGTGGGTGCCTTAGACTCTATGCTGTTCCAGCGGTCACCTGGGTCTCCTTGAACAAAGGAGGCTGGGAGAAGCCACCTCACGTACACCCTTGCAGTGGCATTAGAAGCAGAACGAAGTCACTCTCTGGGTACCACACAGTTACATCTGGAAACCCCAAGAGGAGCCTATGCTGCCCCCTGAGCCCCTCGCTGGCAGGCTTGTCTGCCTGACCTTGATCAGCTATGAGTTGGTTGCTTCCCTGTCCTCTTGCCTCCACAGTAATCACTGGAGTAAGCAGTACCCTTCTGTCCTGGTCTCATCTCCACTGCGGCGATAAACCACTCTGACCAAAGCAGCTCAGGAGAGGGGCACCGTGGGGTGGCTCCCACAGTCCACTGAGGGAAGTCCGGCAGGGATCGAAGCAAGAACTTGAAGCAGAAACCGTCGAGGAACACCGCTGGCTAGCTCAATGGCAGGTTTGTCCTCCTTTGCTTTCTGACATAGTCCAGGACCACCGACCTAGGGCTGGGTGCCTCCCCGAGGGCTGGTCCCTCCTACGTCAATTAACAATCAAGACAGTCCCCACCGACATGTCCACAGGCCAATCTGACTTTGAGACTTTCTGCCCAGATGACTCTAGGCTCTGTCAAATTGACAAGTAAAGCTAACTAGGATGCTTTCTTACACATAAGAACCTACACCCCATTTAGACAGTTTGCTCTATTCTTCCGTCAATACCCACCATCTCTTTCTTTTAAACTACATACAAAACAGATATTCCAGTGTTTCATAGCTAATCCCCAAGTGTGTGTTTATACTTGACTATTTTAAGTCACATTGAGTCCTTTAACACATGCACACTCTAGCACTGCTAATTCATTTCTATTTGTCAATTTCTAGGGTCCCAACATCTGTTTCTACCCTGCATCTCAATCAATACTTTGTACTTGTAAATGCTTAAATTCTTTAGGTTGATCCTTATTGCATTTTGCTGGTATTTAAATTTCACCTTTCCAAGTTCACCAACTATTTCGTAACTAGATTTTATTCTATTATGAACTTACATAATAAAAATTGAAGCCAGGGCTGGGAAGATGGCCTAGTAGGTAGTGCTTGCCTTGCAAGCCTGAGGGCATGAATCTGACCCTCAGAAGCCACGTCCAAACAGCCAGGCACAATGGCACAAGCTTGGAATCCCAGCACTGGAGAGCAGATAAGGTGGATTCCTGAGGCCTGCTGGCCAGCCTAGCCTCCTAGGTGAGCTCCAGTGACATTATCGCAAATAGGAGCAGTATCCATAAAATAATGTTACTAAAAATTACCTTCCCCAGATTGATCTATCTCCTCAGCTAAAGGCACAACTAAAAGGAGCCAATGGGTTGGTTTGGTTTTTTGTTTTGAGACTAAAAGTTGGATCATTTACTTGTTACTCTTAAGGACTTTTTTTTTTTGAACTGGACTCAGAAGTAGAAGCTCTCAGTGAAGACAGCCTACGTCTCTTGACACTCTGGGCATTTTTGACTCCCTTCATTCTCTTGGTCAAAAGTTTAGCATGTTCTGCAGCCTCCTCCTCATTTTTCTTAGTGTGTTGTCTCTTCAGAGCAACATGTGGGCTTTTGTGTTGCAGGGCACGTGGAGTAACAAGACATTCAATCTTTGGTGCTTTGGTCCTGGGCTTCTTACCTCCTTTGTTTAAGATTTTCTGAATACATATGGGGACTTCTTTACAGAGACTGAAAACTTTCATTTCCTGTGAGCTCTTTTGAGTCCCAACTGCCAAGGCACAGGAGGCTCTGTCAGTCCAGGAATATCCTTCCCTCCTTTTTAAAAAATAACCAGGTTGAGAGCACTCCGATTGGCACCTGCAGTGCATCCCAGAACAGACTTGAACTTCCTCTCTCCTGTTCTCCTTGGTCTATAACAAGAACGCCCCTTACTCAACAGCAGGAGACTGTGCAGTGGGTCAAGACACCCCGCTTCATGGGAAAACCTCGTTTGTCATTCCCACCACTGATTCGGACCACACGACCCGTCCACTCTTCACCCAGAGCATCAGCAGCGACTTCTGTGGCCACGAGCTCCTCAGAGAAGGCAGAAAGCTTGGCATTCATCACCCACTTCAGTGAGCTTCTCACAGCTGATGGCTGGGAAGGAGACAGCCTCAGCTCGACACGGTCGACCACCTAGGAGGTGCCACCGAAAAGAGCACCAATGTATTTTTTCCCTTGGCCTGGCTCTAAATCAGCAGGGTATTTGGCCATGATTCAACACCTTTAAGACCTCAGGTGCCCCAAATGAAGGACCTTACATCTTGCTAGCTACATCCCCAGCCTTCAAAGTAAATTTGTAACAATTGTACAAATGATGACATGTAGCTAATTCTAATGGGTATATCAAGGGATGCTTTTATTTTAACAGGACATTGTAAGGCAGTCACTAAAATATTTGTTTTAGAAAGAAGGATAATGAAGGCACGAACACCTTCTCTTTTCTGGTTCCATGAGAGGAGAAGTTTACCATTCTACATACATTTGGTGAAGAAGCTGTAGCGTCTACTCTGCTGGCCCATCCAGCTGACGGGAGAGGAAACGCAGCACTGTGTCTGCAGCGCCTGGCTCAAGCTGGTCAGACAGTGGTTAGTTTTTGTTCCCCTTGGTGACCAAGAGCCTACAGGCAGATAGAACAAAAGCTGGTGTTAGACCCCATGGCTGTAAACCACTGCCAACACCAACCATCACACTAATAAAAGTAAGTCACTGAGGTTGTTGGGATGGTTGGGCAGTTAAAGGTACTTGCTGCCAAACCTGACAACCTGAATTTGACCCCACACAAGTGGTAGGAGAGAGTCAGCTCCTACAAAGAGTCCCCATGACTTACACACGCACAGTAGAATGAATGTGTACACACACACACACATACACACACACACACATACACACACACACACTTTCTAAAAACTGTTCAAGTCACTAAAATCTTGAGAATCATGTTTTGGGGTTGGAGAGATGGCTTAGCAGTTAAGAGCATATACTACTCTCAAAAAGAAGCCAGGTTTGGTTCCTAGCACCCATTTCACATGTCTCACAACCACCTATGACTCTTCCTCCCGGGAACCTATGCTTCTGGCTCCTTAGGCATTTACACGCATGTGTACATACCCCACACCAAGACACAAAGACAAAACTAAAAGAAATGCATTTTTTAAAAAGTCAAATGTTGAGACACCTTCAAAACGAAATAAGCTAAATGCCCGTGCTAGTTAGAGAAGCTGCAGCTCCTCCACGCAATGGATGTGGCATTTTTCTGCAGTATCCAAGAGTGCAGAGCCTCCTGTGGGAAAACAGTGACCTCTGCTGGGTGCAGCCAGGGAACGTGCAATGACCTGCAAACGTCCCACAGAGCAAAATGCCAGAGTATGCAGAATATCCTGTTTCATGTTCAAAAACAACGCAGGTGTACCTGTGACTGTACCTTCCACACTCCAGAAGGACAGACAAGAAACGGTCTCTACAGTCACCTCTGGGGAAGAGAGCTGAAGCATGTATAACTAGACGTGAATGCTTCGGCAGTACCCCTAGACGGCCGCGCTCACCCCAGACCCCGTCACAAAACTACCCCATCATAAGCAAACCTTACAAGAACAGAGATGTGGTAGAGTCTTACCGTGGCTGAGAGTGGTCTTCACTGCCCAAAAGGAAGCTGCTGCTGGAAAGGTGTTTAGAGAGAGCTGCCTAGACAGGAAATGACCTGTAAATGGGGGGAGGGAGTACATTTGTTTAGAGATAAAAAGGAACACTTTAAACAGTAATGTCTACAAAATATTAACACCTACAGAATAAAAGGATTGAGACAAAGTGTAAGCCATCTCTGGGTCCATGACCATTTGCCAAGTAGTTGACATGATATCTGCACCCTTCACCCTCAAACCCACCCAGTTTCCAAGCCTTTCAAAATCCCCTTGGGTATCAAGCCATCTGTCACCTGCCCTGTGCTGTCCTTGCTGGTCCTTTGCTAAGGCCTCTTCATCATTGAGCCACAGGATAACCCATCTCCTAACAGGTTTCCCTAATTCCCTTCCCAGCATTTCAGATCTAGGCAGGTGGATCTCTGTGAGTTTGAGGCCAGCCTGGTCTACAGAGTGAGTTCCAGGACAGCCAGAGCTACACAGAGAAACCCTGTCTTGGGGGGGGGGGAGAGGATGTTTCTTCATGGGCCATGTCTCATATCCCAGTCTGGAGGCAGAGACAGGCCAATCTCTGTGACTTCAAGGCCAACCTCATCTACATAATGAGTTCCAGGCTAGCCAGGGATACACAATGAGAGCCTATCTCAAAAAATACTTTTTTTTCCCATCTCTGACAAGAGACTTGTATCTAGAAAATACAAATAAGTCTTCCAATTCCATAATAAAGTCAACCAAACTGAAAAATGGACAAATAGCCAGGTCTGTTGGTGGATGTTCATATACCCAGCTATTTGAGGCTGAGACGGGAGGATAGACAGTTCAAGCCCAGCTAGAGAGTGAGTTCAACAATAGCCTGGGCAAGTTGTTGGGCACACAATTCTGGAGAGATGTAGTCCACCACGAAGGAGAAGATATGGTAGCAAGCAAGGATGGCATGATGGCAGATCCCCACATCCACAGCCAGAAGCGGAGTACAGAAAGTGGAGGCAGGCTATAAAGCTTTGAGGCCCAACTCCATTGACCCACTACATCCAGCAAGGCTCCACTTCCTAAGCACATATAACCTTCCCAGACAGCTCCACCAGATGAGATCCATCTGTTCAAACACCCAGGCTGAAAGCTCAGTGGTAGAGCACTTGCCTAGCATGCACAAGGTCCTTCCTAGCAGGTGTGCCCAACCTTTGACTCTTAACATGGCACAGACCTCAAATCTACAAAGTTTGTGGTCAAGAACCACACAATCAAGTTACACACACACACAATCGTATGTTTTAAAGATGTTTACAGTTTTGAACGGGACCACACTCACAGTCGCCCTCAGGCCACAGTCTGGACATGCCTTTACCTAAGGTTCAATCTTCAGTGTACACACACACACACACACACACACACACACACACACACGTGTACACACACACACGTACACATACACAGACAAAAGATTTGAACAAACATTTCTTCAAGAACATATGCAAATAGTTAAGAAGCACACGAAAACAAGCTCACTAGAAATCAAAGCCACAAAATTAGTACATTGTCACACCACTGGCTTGGCTATCTGCACAGAACAGACAATAACAAGTTTTGGCACAGAGAAACCTGAACCCCTACATTGTGCTGGAGCTGTAAAATGGTATAGCTACTTGGCAGCTCCGTAAACATGGAGTCATTGCTGCAACCAGCAATTCCACTTCCAGGAAATGTACACAAGAGAGGATGGACATAGGCATAGACAAAAACACAGCTCTCAAATACTTTAACATCAGTCCTGATAGCCAAAGATGGAAACGGCTCAAATGTTCATCAACCAATGAATAGATAAACAAAATGTGGTACATCGACACAAGCATATTATTGGGTCACAAGCAACATGGGACTGGTATGTCACAGCCTGGATAAGTCCGACAACACTGCAGATATCTTTTGATTCTGTTTATAAAAAAATGTCCAGAACAGCAAGCTATAGACAGATGGGAAATAGATCAGTAGTTGCCTAGTGTTGAGGATTATTGAGAGATTGGAGGGGATGAACACAACAGTTAAAAAGCAGTTTTTCAGGCTGGGCAGTGGTAGCACACACCTTTAATCCCAGCACTAGGGAGGCAGAGCCAGGCGAATCTTTGTGAGTTCGAGAGCAGCCTGGTCTACAAAGTGAGGTCCAGGACAGGCTCCAAAGCTACACTGAGAAACCCTGTCTCGAAAAAACAAAAAACAAAAAGTTAAAAAAAAAACAAAACACTGAAGTGTACACTTCAGATGGGTGCTTTATGCTAATTTATGTCAATAAAGCTGGTACCTCCCAAAAAAGGGGAGTTACACAAAGAGGGGAGAGGCTTGGAGCAAGGCATCATGGGTGCAAAGTTTTAAATCTTAATCTGTGAGCAAGTTTCCCATCTCTGTAATTCCCTCATCTATAAAACAAGAATAATGAGGCTGAGTCTGATAGTAAAAACAACTGAAACTCTAGCGTTTAGGAGCTGAGGCGGGAGGCTTATAAATTGGGAGACTTTGTCTCAAAAACAAAAAAAGTGGGCGCGGGGGTGGGGTGGGGTGGGGGTTGTTTGAGAATACAACAGAATCATAAAGGCACTCTGAGGAGGAAATGGAGGTATAAAATCATGAACAGCTTAAGATCGTTTCCGGCACACGGGTAAGCAAGCCCCTGTGACCGAAGGCTACAACCCACTATTCCGCAGAGGCATTAAGGAGATTGTTACAGCGCCGGCAAAACAAATGCAGCCTCACGTCACATACCCCACCAAGGGATTTCGGGCCACACACTGCAACCAAATTAACTTGCAGGGCCTGGGCGGTGGGCTTGATACAACAGGACGCTGTCGATCGCGAAGCCATTCCCAGAGGCCAACGCTAAGCTAGAGAACTGCAGACAACTGAGAAGGGAGGGAGGAAAACGGTGACATTCCGACAAGCGGATCGGCCCGGGCGCTGAAATGACAGCTAGTTAATCTAACGGACCCGGCAAGAGGACGATCCTTTAGTTTTGAGCTTCGCTGGCGGCCCTCGGCCTCGAAGCCGGGATTGACATCACCCCCAGGAGCCATAGATGGTGCTTGCTCCTCCTGCTCCTCCTCTCCGGGTGGGCTCGAGAGGTTCTCCTGGCTGAGAGCAGAGTCCAGTCGCTTTCTATAATCTCAGGACCCAGAGAAGGGGAGAAGGCGCGCAAGGTCACACACACAGCCTGCCCGACCCGAATGGGAGACCAGGATCAGGGGCCCAGCGACGTCTTGCGCCCCCTCGACCCGGAACCTCGCAGACCCGAGGGAAAGCACCCTGCTGGCGCGCGCTTACAGCCCGGGTCCCAGCGCTCACCTGCCGGCACGCCACACAGCGCGGGGAGACAGCCCGCAGCGCGCACGGCCGCCGCCATGCTGGAGCCGGAGCAGCGACGCCGCCTGTCTCCGGGACAGCCTTCCCCGCCGCCTGCCGCGACCGGCTGCGACCGCGCCTCGTCAGACGTCCGTCATCAGCGCAAGGCGATGTGCTGAGACTCGAGGGCCAACGTTCAGCGCACACGGGGCGGGGGCGGTGTCGAGAAATTGTCCACCTGGACCACAAAGGAACCCGAGTCAGGCTCAGCCACGGACAGCTTCGCGGGGGGCCTCGCGCTAGGACCCCAGGCAGGGGCGGGGAAAGGGCGGGGCTAGCTCTGGTTCTCATCTCAGGCAATGGTCGAATCCGTCAGATCCCACCGATGGTTGGTGTGTCCTGAGGAAGCCCGGAGATGGCTGTTGTGTCCTGAGGAAGCCCGTGCGGCTGAGCCAGGAGACAGTCTGGGAACAGCAGGAAGGATGATGCAGAGAGTGAATGAGACCAAGTTTAGGAAGTTCGTACCTAACTCCAGTGAAGACCTAAAGTTTACTAAACATTACGTTGCCCTCGATTTCAGACTCAGTGGTGTACTCTTGGTAGAGGTTGTTCACACACGCATGTCCAGCCCCAGGCCATGTCATTTTTTACCTCACCTGGTCATGGCTTTACACTATCCCTGCTTGCCCAAACGAGTCACATGTGATGGTCCTGGACTCCTCCTCCGAAAAGGTGAGCCTCCAATAAACTATTTTTAAGTCGCCCTGGTCACAGTGTATTGGTGAAATTTTGTCACGGCAATAAAAACACTGCGGTTTTCTTATTAGCGTCTCCAGCATATCTTGGAAGGCTTCTGCCTTTCCTGAGGGCGATGGTTGTCAAGCAAGTTGTTAAGTATTTGCTACCTAATATTTTGGTCATGATTTGAAACACCTGGAGATTCTGGCCGAGTTCAAAAATGGGGGAGAATTGCTTATGAGAGTGCCTTGGCTACTTCCCAAGCCTTTTCAGCATAGACAGGAAAGGCTTCAGTTCACTCAGCGAGGGTATCCGTGAAGCCCAGTAGGCAATTGAAGACTTGGCAGGTGGGGAGCTCAGTGAACTACATCTCTAAAGCTGTCATGGGGTAGTGACCATGTCTGTGCATGGTCACAAAAAGAGATTTTCTGAAGCACACGCAGCCCCTGGTAACTCAGGAATGGAATAAAAGAGTCCCTTTCCTAAGAATAGGAGATTGTGTGTTTCTCCTGACCTTGCCCGACCAAAGAATCATGGAGCCACTTTACAAACTTCCACTGAAGACTTGGAGAACATAGTTGAGCATTTCCATATGTAGCCTTCCTTCGGGATTACAGAGGAACCCTTCACAGCTGCCCTCTCCACTGCGGTAGGGGCAGACTGGGGCTTACAAGGCATCCTCGATAGAGGGGAAAGGGGCCAGCAAAAGTTAGGTACCAGGGCTGCGACCTTGGCAGTCTAGTGATCTAATCCATTCCCTCCAGTGACAAGTGAGTCGTCCCTTTGGTGTGCCCTGTAGCAGACATGGCAACACTGGGGAGTTTCCTAAATGGCATACATGAGAGACAAAACCTGTGGTCAATATTTGATGGAAGCTCTCTTGGAGTTCGGTAAAGCTCTTTCCTTCAGGATAGCAGCATGGACATGTAACACCAGGGAGGTGTGTGGTTACTTAGTAGAAGAATTTGCTTCTTTGCTAATTCTATGTGCATCCTTAAGAAAGACTGATATTGGAGGTGTCTATGTAATAGCCGAAGAGATCAAGTTCTTAGGAGAGTAGATAGTGATCCAATGGCCATTTGAGGACAGTTATTGACCCGGTTTTTGTTTTTTGTTTGTATGTTTGTTTTGGTTTTTTGGTTTTGTTTGTTTGTAATGTGCTGTTGAAGAGCCTGTCCCTCATGGGAAGCCCAGTGCCAGGACTTCCTTAGGGATTGTTCCGTGGTCCCAGAAAGACTGATATTGGAGGTATCTATGTAATAGCCGAAGAGACCAAGTTCTTAGGAGAGTACAGAGAGTGATCCGATGGCCAGTTGAGGACAGTTATTGACCCTGGTTTTTTTTTTTGTTGTTGTTGTTGTTTGTTGTTTGTTTTGTTTTGTTTTTGTTTGTAATGTGCTGCTGAAGAGCCTATCCTCTTTGGGAAGCCCGGTGCCAGGACTTTCTTAGGGATTGTTCCTTGGTATGGATTTGGGGTCCCCATTTAGTTTCTCAGAGACTGGCCTGGCTATTTTTTTAAATGCTTCAATCCATATTCTGCAGTACCCTGTTAGTTCCAGAAAAGCCCTAACACGTTTCTTATTTCAGATATCCTGGGGCTAAGATTCAGTAACTGACTTTTTTGTCTCACAAGTTGAGTCTTTCCCTGGAAACTCTGCGTCCTTTTTGTGCTACAAAGTTTAAAGTCCGTGCAGCTGGTATTGTCTGAAGCAGTAGAAAGGAGGTCATCCTCAAACAGGATTGTGGTTACAGAGTTGAGTGTAAATTCCCCAAGGTGCCGACCAAAATAGTGAAAACTGCCTAAGAATTCTTGAAGAACCACAGCAACAGGTGTGTCGAGCATCTGGGGCAGTCCACTGAAAGATGACTAAGAACTGGGAACCCTGGCTTTCAGAAAAGACAGGCAAGCTGGCAAACCAGAGACAGGACTTGCGCTGTCTTAGGACCCTCCTCCTCGCTGCACTACTCAGGTCCGCCTTCACCGGACAGCGGGTCTCCCGGTTTAGGAGCGCACGCACACACAGCCTGCTTCAGCACCACGGATCTGGAGTGCAAACTTGTGCAGTTTTTTTTTACGCGTCATCTTAAGGCGCGCCGGCTGTCGAGAATTCTGGGAAATGGAGTCCATGCGAAGGCAGCACATTGATTGGAGCCCAGAGGCGGAAGACCATCGCGCAGGCGCACTGCCTTCCCGACCCGAGGCGGTACGTCGTTCGCAGGTACCCAGTACTCTTGCGGAAGGTGAGGGCCGCGGGTCTAGGTCTTCGAGAAGCCGAGTGGACGCAGCGGCGGAGAGAAGGGAACCCTGGGGACTTGGGGGAGGACTAGTGGGCGTGACCTGATGGAGCTGGCTTGCGCGAGAGCCTGGGACGGAGAGTCGTCCCGCCCAGTGTGCGTAGGTTCCTTAGGACATAGACAGGGCTACCAGTGTCTTTGTGGTACGCCCACTGTGTGTCAGAATCCTGTACTTCCAAGTTGGAGGTCCCAGTCCTCCCCCGTCTTCCTCTAGTTCCTTCTTCCCTTCATGGTGCTTCATGAATGTAGGTGGTACCGACCCTACATCTAAGGGTGCCCACTCTACTCTCACCCAGTCCCCTAGAAAACGTCTCACGTTGTGTCTTTCGCTCCTCATCCCCAGCCTGCACGGGAATGTCCTCACATGAGGTTAGGGTGTTCGTAGAGGAGGCCGGATTTGGGGTGAAGAAAACCCGAAAGGAGATGGCAAATGACTTCAGGCAGATTTGAGATGATTTTGACTAGAGTGCACTGCCAAGGAGTAGTGGAAATAAAAGTGAAGGAACTATATTGAGGCCAGACAAGACCCGGGGTATCAGGGTAAGACCCACCAAGCAGGGTATTGTGTGGTCTTAAATGAGATCAACACAAACGAAGTTTTGAGGAACAGTTCTAGAAGTAACATTCTGATCATCATAAAGTCGAACATCCCAACTTTGGACCAACCACCGACACCGACAACCATCATATGTCTAGAGGTCCGTGTGATGACGAGTTGTCTATTACTCCATTGAAGTTGTTTGCAGTTCACCGGTGACCTTTCCCCTAGTTTTTGTTTTTACATTTATTGCATTTGAGATACGGCCTTATTTTGTAGCCTACCCTGGTGGTAAGCCAGCAGATCTCCTACTTCAGCCTTCCAAGTGCAGGCATTACAGGTATATGTCACCATACTTGTTTTCCATGAAGCTTCAGTCATGCATTATAAAGCTTCCCAAAATGTTGGGATGCGTTTCAGGATTTTCTATTTTAGTTTAAAGATCTGCTTAACTTTGTGGCTGTCTTTTGATGAAAGTAAATTATAACAGAAGTAAAAGCTTCCAGGCAGACCTTTTCAAATTCTGCCCCAGCCTTTTACAAAGCCTGAATACCCTGTAGTCCCTCTCTTGATGTATGAGGATGGGATTAAATTATCCTTATTAAAAGCACTTAGCAAGAGCCTCAGGAGAGCAAGTGCTCAGCAGTACTAGTTAGGGTGATGTTTCATAGAGCTCCATTGTGTGTCTAGTCTCTAGGCAGTAAATTATTTAATCAAGTTTCCTGTTGTAGATGCTTAATGGAGTTCACATTTTAGTTGCACTGTTTAAAGATTAAATGGGATGATATATGTAATTGCTTAAGAATCTGGCTGGCAGAGAACCTTCAATAAAGATGTGTTGGCGATGGTTAATTAAAAGCTCCGTAACTATTCTCTTTTATTTCTAGAATAAATTCCTAGAAGAGAATTGGCCAATCTGAGAATGTCTGTGTTTGAAAGCCCTTGCTATTCATCACAATGCTCTTTCTAAAGTACATCTCTAATGAGGATACAACCATGCTCAACACCCCCCACCCATGCTCAGCGCCCCCACCCCCATCCCCAGCTCCTTTTGACGTAGTTTGACCTCTGCTGGTGTCTCCAGGCTCATCTTTTCTCCAGTATTGTTCCTGACTAAGACTTCCTCTTATCTAATTTCAGTAGTAATCCTTTAGGTGATAAGGATCTGCCTCTTATTTTTACTCAAGGTTTTCCTTGTCTATCATGTTCCTCCCTCACAGCAAAACTGTAGATCCCAGTTGTGCCAAGAAAGCTGCAGCATTTCTCCCTCAGTCCTTCCTCCCTGGGCTCAGGAGCCTCTTCAAAGCCCTGACCGCTTGCCCTGCATCTCTTTACATACCATCCTAGAGTAAATGTTTCTTTGTTCTTTGTATAAAGCTGTCGCTCGCTCTTGGAGGTCGGGGAGTGTCTTGCAGGGTTTGTGCTTGGTGTAGTTGGTACTAAATAAATGCTGATTAAGTAGGGTAGATGAATGAATCACAGGGAGTGGTGACGTGTTCCTATGGCTGCAATAAAGTGGTCAGTGAGCCACAGATACACATTTTCTCTTCCTTCTCAGAAGCGTACATACTATCTCCCCACTCCACCAGGAGTTCCCCTAATTTTTGCTTTCACTGTTATTTTAATTAAACTCCTTTTCTAGGGGCAAGAATCGATGTGGTGTTTC